GGGCTGATGTGTTGACACCTGGGTGAGAGCCAGATGGGAGGCGGGGGGGGGAGCTGTGAAATTTCCCACGGGGCTCCCCCATCCTGTCCATCCTACTGAGGAGGAGGAGGGGGGGGGGCGGAGGGCGGGGAGGAAGGGGAGGTAACGTGGTGGGATTCGCTGGGCTGGGCTCAGAGGGCCGGAGGAGGTCGGCGGTGAGCCTGGGGATGAGCTGAGCTGCACCCAGCCCGGCTGGCGGCATGGAGGAGACGGGATACATCTACACCGAAGGGGACAATGAGACCGATTGCGAGTACGAGGAGTGGGGCTTGTCACTGGCCCTGCTGCCTACCATCTACCTGCTGGTCTTCCTGCTGGGCACGGCGGGCAACGGCCTGGTGCTCTGGACCATCTTCAAGGGCGGGCGGGAGCGGCGGCGCTCAGCTGACACCTTCATCGCCAACCTGGCCGCCGCCGACCTCACCTTCGTGGTCACGCTGCCGCTGTGGGCCGCCTACGCCTGGCTGGGCTACCACTGGCCCTTCGGCACGGCTGCCTGCAAGGTCAGCAGCTACCTGGTCTTCGTCAACATGTACGCCAGCGTCTTCTGCCTGACAGGTCTCAGCTTCGACCGCTACCTGGCCATCGTGCGGCCGCTGGCCACGGCCAAGCTGCGCTCAAGGGTGAGCGGGCTGCTGGCCACCGTGGCCCTGTGGGTGCTGGCAGCCCTGCTGGCCCTGCCGGCCCTGGTGCTGCGGCAGGCGGCCGCGCTGGGGGGGGACACCAAGGTCACCTGCTACATGGACTACGGGGGCCTGGCGGCGCCGGGGACCGAGGCTGCCTGGGAGGTGGGGCTGGGGCTCTCCTCCACGCTGCTGGGCTTCGTGGCCCCCTTCGCTGTCATGCTGACCTGCTACTTCTTCATCGCCCGCACCGTGGCCACCCACTTTCGCCGCGAGCGGGCAGAGGGGCCCCGCAAGCGCAAGCGGCTGCTGACCATCATCGCCGTGCTGGTGGCTGCATTCGGCGGCTGCTGGCTGCCCTTCCACCTGGTCAAGACCCTCTACGTCCTGATGGACCTGGAGGTGCTGCCCTGGTCCTGCGGCCTGCACGCCTTCCTCAACAATTTCCATCCCTACTGCACCGGCATCGCCTACATCAACAGTTGCCTCAACCCTTTCCTCTACGCCTTCTTCGACCCCCATTTCCGCCGTGCCTGTGCCGCGCTGCTCTGCTGCCATCCCCCCGGGCCCGGGGCCGAGCGCTCGGGCAGCTTCTCCTCGGGGCACAGCCACCCTCCTGGAGGCAAGGGGGCCCTGGCTATGGGGGGCAAGCTGGACCCTGCCACCCAGGAGACGCTCTTCCGTGCCTGAACCCCCCCCTCCCTGGCAGCCCCCCGAGCTGGTCTCCTTGGGGGCGGCCCCTGCATACTTAGGGCCCCCCCCCTTCCCTTCCTCTTGGTGCCCCAGAGCCTGGCTTGCTTTGGGGAGCCCTGTCTCTGCTTGCGGGATGTGTGGGAGGAAATTGAGGCACGGGCTGGGTGGGCTCCCCTTGTCCCCTGGGGGGTTTGGGCAGGGGCACGGCCAAGCTGTGGGATTTGTGACAAATAAATGAATTTTGGTTACAAAAAACAAAAAGGAGTAGGGTGTGTGATTCCTGGGGGGGGGGGGGGGGGGGGGGGGGGAGGGGGGAAGGGTTGATGGAGAGGCGTGGGGGTTATTCTGGTCCACGGAAGGGTTGGGGGGGGTGTGCACACAGAGGCATTTCTGTGCACCTCAGAACCCAGGGAACATCAGATGAAGTCCCCACCTCCTCAGATCACCCTGCTCACAGGGTGGGAGCTGATTGAGAGCCTGATTGCATCAGGTCCTTTCCTACCAAATCCCTTTTTTAGGTTTTTACCTTTATCTGAGGCCAAATCCACCCTGGGTGACTCATGCCAGGGCTGCAATGCTCACAGAGCCGGGAGACATTGCCCCAGCCCGGCCACCACTGCCTCCAGCTCAGCATGGGATGGGGCTGCCATGGGGCTGCACCTTCCCTATCCGCAGCCCTGTCCTTCCTCACTCTCCCCTGGCGCCAGGCAGGACAATGGCCCACGATAGCCTGGGATTTTGATGAGCCACCAAAACATGGTCCTCTCGTTTCCATCTCCAGCCCCAGACGCTTCCTGAGCCTTCGCTTTAAATAAATCTTCACCCTATTTGCTATTTGCATCCTTCATTTACTCACGATTAACTATCCTGTCTCCTCAGCTTTTGTTCCCACTTGGAAAGGATGCAGGATCATTACTGAGTTCCTTGTAGAGCTTCCCGTTGTTTGGCGGTGGGGCTGTGGGGTTTGTGTTGACCTTCCTATTGCCACGGCATCATTTTGGGCTCCAGCCCAGCCAAGCATATCACCCCTAGGGGAAGGCCCTTTGTCTTAGCAAAGTTAATAGAGGAGGTGGCCTTGGAGCTGTGGTTTGGATAAAGGGGGGTGCAAAGTGGGTGCAAGCCAAGAGGGCAGTCTATGGCAGCTCTTTGAACCCTGGCTGGTGCTGATTGGGGTTTCCCCTTGGTTTCTCTCTTGGGCTTAAAGCCAGGGGAATTGGGGTGGTGGAAATGCAGCATCTGAGGCCACAGCCCAAAGGAAAATTTGGGGGAGAAGTGTGTTTACATTCAAGATTTCTGTCAGCCTCACTTTTTTTGGAAAAAGCAAGAAAAAGAGATCCCCGGTTCCTGCTCATTCACTCTTCCATCCCTCCCTCCTTCCCTCCCTCCGTCCATCCATCCCTCCATCCATCCATCCAAATCCTCAACCCCCCATCCTCCATCCATCCATCCATCCATCCATCCATCCATCCATCCATCCATCC